TCTGCCCCAGGATTGCCCCAACACCCTCTACATCTCCCCATGAGAGGGAGGACCTCCCCACAGCACCCCCACACCTAGCCACTCTGCCAGCCTGGAGCCCACCAGCCCCACCCTGAGAGAGGCTCTGAGGACACCCTGGCCCCCACACGCACCGGACTCCGTAGTCCACAGCCACAGCCTCCTTGGCGGTGCCAGCGATGGCATCATGGTGCTGGAAGAGGCCCAGGTTGCGGCGAGCATTGGTCAGCAGGGCGTAGTCAGAGAGCGGGTACCTGCCATCAGCACCAGCACGGCGGGCGTGGGCCAGTGCCAGGCTATACAGGATCTCTGCCCCCCTGCACAAGGACAGAGGCACTGAGGGTCCCTACCCTGGTGCTACGGTACTGGGAGGGCTGGCCTGGGAGGGTGTGGCAAAAGTACACATTGCCCTGGGACTGGGTGAGGTTTGGCACTGTGTGCACCAGTCCAGTGTGTTGGCAGCTGGCGCAGACCGGGGGCTGTCGAGCTCTCGGATACCGCCCGGCCACCCCTCACCCTTGCCCCACGCACACCTCCTGTGCCCCAGGGACCAGCCCACTGCCCCTCACCGGAGGTGGGACTCCAGCACCCGGTCCAGGCTCTTGTAGAACGGCCGAGAGGTGAAGTAGCCTGTCCAGTAGTGATCCTCCCGGTCCGCATAGGAGAAGAAATCCCCAGTCAGAACTGGGAACCCAGGTGGCCTCATCCCTGGCACGATGCCCACTTTCTTGTACAGGGCGTCAAAGTAGTCAGAGAGCGTGCCAAACTGCGCCTGCAAGACAGCACATGCAGCCCTGAGCCAGGGCTCCTGCACTGGGGGCTCTCATCACTCCTCTCAGGACTGTTCACCCGTCCAACTCTGCTGTGTTCTACTGTGGCCTACTGCTGCTCCCAGCCCCACAGAGCTCTCCACACAGGACTGTTCACCCGTCCAACTCTGCTGTGTTCTACTGTGGCCTACTGCTGCTCCCAGCCCCACAGAGCTCTCCACACATACCTGGACGTGGAGGTCAGGCCGCGAGTTGAGAAAGTCAAAGATTCGCTGGTAGTTGAGGAACTGGGCGTCCCACTCCTGTGGCTTGTCATAGCGGAAGTCATCTCCCAGGGGCACCAGCAGCACCTTGCTGCGGTACAGCTTGGACTTCTTGCGGTACTGGTCCAGCAGCAGCTGGGCTCTGTATGAGGGCCAGGGCATGAGGCCAGCCCCTGGTGCCCCACAAGGCTGGGAGCCACATGCCCCTGCCCCACTCACCGCTCTGCCACGTTGGCGTCAGTGATGGCGCGGGGAGGCACCTTCCAGGGACAGTTGATCCGGCCCCCAGGCAAGCGCTTGAAGTCAAACTGGCAGCAGATCTTGGGGTCCGGGCCACAGGTGTGAGGCACATCGTAGCTGTAGAAGGGCATCATGTGGCACAAGATGTCGGTGCTGCTGTCTGGATCTGTGGGACCAAAGACAGGTGAGCACCAGCAACGGCTCTCCTTTGCCTGTCCCTGAGCAGCGGGGCCCAAAGACAGCAGTCTGACAGAGCCGAGCTCAGAGGGCACAGCAGCCTCGCCCAGTGCGTTGCTGGACACGGTGGCACGTGGAAAGTCACCCTGAGGCTGTCCCACAGGGCAGAGACACCACCTCCCACTGCTTGGCTCATCTGCACAGAAAAGTGGCTGGTAGCCATTCTCTGCTGCCACCTGCCCCACACGGCCCCCTCTGCAGTCCCCTCCCTACAGCGCCTCACCCCACGTCTGTCTCCACATGAACTCCAGGTTCTGGGTGGCAGCAAAGTGCTTCTTGATGGTGTAGTGCACGCGCTGGATGAGCATGGCCGTCAGGTTGGAGCGCTTCAGCAGGTAGGGCATGGTGGAACTGTACCCAAAAGGGTCTACAGCCCAGCCCGACCGTGGTGTCACACCTGGGAGCACAGAGACCTGTCAGCCCCACGCTGGGCCGGCAGCACCTTCCGTGAGGAGGGTCCTGTCAGGACCTGGAGGCCTGTAGTGCATTAGGCAAGCCCCCAGCAAGCATGTGTCCAGCTCTCACCAATGTTCTTCTCCAGCCACTGGTGGCCCTCGATCAGCTGGTCAATCATGGCAAAGTAGTGGGAATTAGCCTCATCGGGCATCACCCAACCGCCTGTCACCATCTCCAGCTGCCCATTGCCCACGAGCCTGTGAGGGGGACACCCAAGATGTGACCAGAGCCCTGCATGAGCCACACATCCATTGCAGAGTTCCCCTGCCCTGAGCCGCCTACAGTCTACCTGCAGCTGCCACTGCCATTTCCCCCTTGTCATGCTGTCCCCACACAGAGTCATCCCTCAGCAGCCCAATGCCAGCCAGAGCTCATTCCCACACACTCTCCACTGTGTCCTCCTCCCCAACGCTCTCAGGGCAGGGGGCAGACAAGGGGACCTTGTCTCACCACACAATCCTGCTCTCCAGGCCTCCTATCCTTCCATGGGTGTCCTGGGCCTTGCACACAAGTTCCCCAGCCCAATCAGCACAGGGCCCAGGGCAAGATCTGTCTCCCCCGTCTCTCGCCCCACATGGCAGTGGTCTGACTTTTGATGGCACTGGGAGACTGCTGGCAGTTTGAAGGCACCCCATGCTGAACACTGCAGGGCCCATGGCCTCTGCACTGCAGCCTTCCAATCCCTAGGGCCCTTCTCTCACATACCCTATGGTCTCAGCCTGCCTGGGAGCCAGGTGGGCAGCGGGGCCAGGTGGGCAGCCCTACCTGCGCACAGCAGCCCTCTTCTGGGCACTGATGTTGTCCCACCACTTGGAAAAGAAGGAGATCTCGGACCAGATGAAGCGCCGGCGCGGGTCCTCCTGCATCTTCAGCAGCATGCTGTTGAGGATGTGCTGCGTCTGGTCGTAGTAGTACTTGTCAAAAGTCTTGATCCAGCCTGGCAGCACAGGTGGGGGTCACTGTGGGAGGCCCAGGCTTCCCTTCTAGCACTGCAGAGTAGCAGAGGCTGGGCCAACCCCTGCTTCTCACCTGGATCATTGTGGGAGTGTGGCACCACAAACACCTGCAGAGGCTCTGTGTCCCACTCATTGGGCTCGTAGGTGATGTCGAAGCCCTGCTTCCAGACACCACCATCCTGGTTGTCAAACGGCAGCAGGGAGTACACAGCCAGCATCTGTGGGTGAGAGACCCCTGAAAGAGTAGAGCCAGGACGCCATGGATGCCCAGGTACGGACCCCTCATGCTAGCAGAGCCACCAGTCCCTCACCTGCAGGTCNTCATTGGGCTCGTAGGTGATGTCGAAGCCCTGCTTCCAGACACCACCATCCTGGTTGTCAAACGGCAGCAGGGAGTACACAGCCAGCATCTGTGGCTGAGAGACCCCTGAAAGAGTAGAGCCAGGACGCCATGGATGCCCAGGTACGGACCCCTCATGCTAGCAGAGCCACCAGTCCCTCACCTGCAGGTCTGGGCTCTGTCCTTTGCCCCCTAGAGCAAACTGGCAGTCTTGTGGAGACACGGAGAGGAAACTTGGGCGACTCTCAGCAGGGAGCACCCAGGAGCCATTCAGGGGGTGTTGAGGCAATGCCGGCTGCCCCTCCGCATGGGCTGTCAGCTCCAGCACCGAGTCCTTAATGTGGCTGATGATCTCGTGGTTCTCCTCCAGCAGCTGTTCCAGCTGTTCGATCCGGTTCTGTAGCACCGAGATCTGGCTCTGGGGGCACAGATGACACAGCGAGGGGCAAGAGGTCACCCAGAGCTATGGGGAGCGAATCTTGGCCCTGGCATCTTAATGCCCAGAGGCCAGGGCTGCCTCCCCATGAATTTCCCTGGCTGAATGTCCCTGTTTGCCATCCCAGGACCGCTCTCACTCACCCCAGACCCTCCAAACTCACCCTGGGGAAGTTGCCCCCACTCTGGTGTCGTGTGGGGTCATGCTGTACCCGGTCCAGCATCAAGTAGAGGGAGAAGACGGCCACGCAGAAGATGGCAGCTCCACAAACCGTTACCTGCTTCTTCAGCTTCATCCCGAAGGGCTGCAGGGACTCACCTGCACCTGGAAGGGGGGAGCCAGGTGGGGCAGCGCAGCCCTCACCGCGGCCTCCTTCCTCCTCCTCCAAGAGCCCTCACCGCGTCCTACTTGCCTTAATCCGATCTGGGTATTTATTTCTGCTGACGGGGCCGGGGCCGGGGCCGGGGCCGGAGAGGCCGCGCGGCCCCGCAGAGCCGGCAGCGCCCGGGCCCGCGCTCAGGCCCCGCCGTGACGGGCTGGGCTGGGCCGGGCCGGGCCGGGGAGGGCCGGGGAGGGACGGGGAGGGACGGGAGAGGCCAGGCAAGCACCGACAGCGGCACCGCCGCCACTCCGCTCGGAGGCTGGGCGGCTCCGCAGCCCGGCCCAGGGCCTCGCATCGCCCGCCGGGGCCCGCCGGGATGGGCCAGGCCAGGCCAGGCCCCGCCCAGCGCTCCGCCCGCCGGGCCGGGCCCCGAGGAGGCGGCACCGAACCGCGGGGACCCCGCACGGCCCCGGCAACGGGAGCAGCCATGCCGGCCCCACAGCCGAGTCGAGATGCCCGTGCCCATCCCGGTTCCCTGTCCCGGTGTGCCCCATCCCTGTGTGCCCCATCCCGGTACCCATCCCGGTACCCTGTCCCCGTGTGCCTCATCCCTGTGTGCCCCTCCCGGTATCCTGTTCGTGATCCTTGTCCCGGTGTGCACCATCCCCGTATCCTGTCCGTGATCCTTGTCCCCGTGCCCTGTCCCAGGGTCCCGTTCCAGCCCTCAGTCCCAGTGTCCTATCTCAGTACTCCCCATGCCAGTTCTCTGTCTAAGTCCACCCTGTCCTGGTGCTTCATCTTGATACTCCATGCCAGTGCACCGTCACATGCCAGTGCCCTGTCACAGTCTCTTGTCCTGGTGCATCATTACAGTGCCCTATCCCAGTGTCTCGTCCCAGTGCCATATCCCAATGCCCTATGCCAGTACAGTCCAAGACCATGTCCATGTCCCCTGCAGCTCCTAGATGCACAGCTGCAGAGCTCGTGTGTTTATTGTACAAGATTAAACTGGGCAGGAGCTGTGGGTGCCATGTCCCACCCTGGGGCATGCAGGAGCCCCTGCCCTGGGGCACAAGCACCACACAGCCACCCCACAGTACCCGCTGCCCAGACAGGGCTCCGCTGTGTCCCCAAGCACTGCCGTGGGATGGGTCCAGGGCCCCTGGTGCTCCCTGTCACCGGTGCCTCTTGCGGATGGCAATGAGATCCTGGTGGATGGTGCTGAAGCTGGGCCGCTTGCGGGGGTCGTACTCCCAGCAGCGCTGCATCAGCTGGTACACCTCCTCAGGGCACTGCTCGGGAGGGTCCAGCCGCACACCTGGGCCAACAGGGATGGGGACATGGATCACTGGCCCCTCACCCCCCACAACCCCGTTTGGGCCATCCCAGGGGCACAGCTGCACAGTGCTGGACCCGCAGCTCGTGGTGGCTCTCTGGAGCCAGCCCCAGCCACGTCCCCTACCATGCTCCACTGCCTCCCGCGTCTGCTGGTTGCTGAGGTTGGCGTAGGGGACAGCACCCAAGCTGAAGGCTTCCCACAGCAGGATCCCAAAGCTCCAGACATCACTCTCTGAGCTGTATCGGCCTGGGGACACGGGGCAGGATGAATCGTGTTGGCAGGGGACACGTGTGTCACCACTGCCCAGCTGTGTCCACGTTCCTGAGGTGCTCAGGGTCTCTGCCTCCCTCCCCAGGACCAGGTGCATGGGAGTGGGATAGTGCCAGTTTCCTGGCTCCCAGATAAGCTGTGGGTGCCAGACCATGCCCAGCTCCATCCTGTACCATAATTGAGTGCTTCAGGGGCTGTCCACTTGACAGGGATTTGCTTCATCCCCCCTGTGGAGGCATAGATGCCATCCTCCTCCTCCCGTGACATTCCAAAATCACTGATCTTCAGGGTGTTCCTCTCCGTCACCAGGCAGTTGCGAGCAGCCAGGTCCCTGAGACAGCCCCAAGCAATCAGCCGTGTGCCCAGCTGTCCCTGGGGCTCCACCTGGCCGGGGATGGGGTGGAGAGGATTCCAGGGCCCCCCCTGTCCTGCCAGGACCCACCTGTGGATGCAGTGCTTGCTCTCCAGGTACTCCATGCCAGCAGCAGCATTCTCTGTCATCTTGACCAGCTCCTTCACCCGGAGGTGGGGACCTTCACTGCGCAGGAAGGTCAGGAAGTCCCCCCCTGTGCCCAGATTGCAGAGGGGTGGGTGCCCAGGCACACCTGACAGGCTCACCCACCCCGTGGGGATGGCGAGGATGGGGCCGCTCACCCTGCACCAGCTCCATGACGATGTAAATGGGCTGTTTCTGCGTGCAGACGCCAATGAGCCGCACGATGTTGGGGTGCCTGTACTGCTTGAGAATCCTGCGGGGACAAGGATGGGCATTGTGAGTGCAGGGCTGCCCTGGGCACAAGCCACCCATTGCCATCCCCAGGGCACTCTGCCCAGCCAGCCCGGGGACACAGCATGAGGGTGCTGCAGTCCCAGCAGGGTCAAACAGCTCCAAGAATGGACAGAAGTGACAGGAGAAGCACAAGGGCCACACGGACCTGGCTTCCTGCAGGAACTTGGCCTTGAGCTCAGGTGGAAGAGTTTCCCGGCAGGATTTCACAGCAACGGGGGTGTTGTCAGCACGGAGGCGTCCACTGAAGACCTCCCCAAAGTTACCCTTCCGAGACACAGGTGCACAGGCTCAGCTCACCATGCACAGTACACAAGGCAGTCCTTGTCCTCCTGCAGACCCTCTGAGGACAGCCCTGCCCCTCCTGCAGACCCCACAGCACCCCATCTCACCCGACCAATGCGTTCCCCCAGCAGCACATCCTCGTGGTTGAGCACCCATTTGTCCTGCAGCAAACAGACACCAGTGAGCTGCCCCTGGCCCACACACCCTGCAGCCCCCTCCCAGGCAGAGCCTCAGGTCCGTGTCCCCCTGTCTAGCTATGGAGAAGCATATCTGTGGCGCTCAGCCCAGCCACCAACAGGAGAAAGGGCTGGGCAGAGCTGCCCCTGCTTAGGGGGCCCCATCCTGCTCCCCACTGCCTCTATCACCTTGGGCACAGCCCTGGCCAAGACAATGCCAGTCTTGCGGGTGATGGGCTGCTGGCTCTGCAGGAGGTGCTGGATGAGCAGTGGGATGGTGGGGAAGCTGTCACCCTCCAGACGAAACATGTCCTGCAGGGAGGGAGGCCGAGAGGTTGTGATGGGCAGGAACCTGTTCCTGCCCATGCAAGGCCACCCCAGCCATCCCCCTTGCTTGTGGTCACTCACATTGACAGTCTGGATGATGAAGTGCCGGGGCTGCCCGTCCCACAGCACGCTGAGCACGTACTCCTGCTTGCCCTGGCTCTCCCGCACCAGGAAGTCCCCATTGCAGGTCAGCAGCTCCTGTACCTCCGAACGTGGGATGGCCCCGTGGTACCAGGCCTGCTGGCACAGCGGCTTCTGCACGTCTGGGATTAGGGGCACGGGGGGTGGCAGCTGGAAGGAGACAAGGTGAGCCCAGCCATGCACACTCCTGAGCTGTGCCAGAGGTGGGGCAGCAGCATCTGGAAACTGTGCCAAGGGCAGGTGGGAGCAGAATGTGGAGGTGCTGAAGCAAGGGGGACTGTGTGGCCAGAAAGGAGAGGAGAGGCTCAGCAAGGCAGTTGGGTGGAGAGCAGGGTGGCTGGAGGCGCCCAGGGACTCACCGAGTACTTTGGGCTGAAGATGCCCGTGATGTGGTTCTTGAGGGTCTCCAGTGCGCTGGGCCCGCTCCGCTCCTGCTCCTGGAAGGACGCATGGGCTGTGCATGAGCTCTGCACCCCATCCCTGCAGCTGCCAGAGCACAGGAGGCGAGGCTGACTCACCGTGGAGGAGATGGACTGCCGATCCTCCGGCAGAGGCAGGGCGGGCAGGGGGTCCCTGGTGCCCAGCTCTGCCAGCTTCCTGGCCAGCAGGTCCCGCTGCACCTGCAGCTTGGCCTGGGCACAGAGGCAGCCCTCGAGCTGCTGCCGCGCCGCGTGCAGCCCCTGCCGCCTGCCCAACAAGTGCACCCTGGGGAGGGGACAGGGCGGTCAGCACCCGCTGCCCTCGCCCCTCGCCCCCCTCTGCTGCACCTTACCGCTCCGCGGGGCTCCGGCCCTGCTCCTCATCATGGATCTCTGCCTTCAGCTCCCGCGTCTGCTGCTCCTTGATACTCACAGCCTCTGTGGCGGCCACCAACTCCTCCTCAACCGATGTCAGGCTGCAGGAGATGTGTGCCAGCACGGGCCTTAGCCCCTGCCTCTCACCTGCCCCTGCCCATGGCTAGTCCCACTCACCAGTGTTGGACACTTTCAAGGGTCAGCTCATTCAGCTGCAGCTCCCCTGGCACCAGGTTTTCTGTGTCCTCCAGCAGGCTCTCATCAAAGGACACAGTTGGTGGCACCTCAGATTCGTACCTGTGGGCACCCAGCACAGCTCTGCCTCCACGTGCCCCATGGCGGCCACTGCCACCCAAGGGCAGCAGGGCCGTACCCGGCAGAGAGGCTGTGGCTGCATGGAGCCATACTGGTGGCTCTGGACGAAGCTGCTGTACTCAGTGGCAGGGTCGATGGCCTGGATGGCACTGGCAATCTCCTGGTGCATGGCCAACATATCCTCCTGTACCAGGCTGCTGATGCTGCAGTACTCCCTGAGGATCTCCTTTCTGCGGGAGCACTGCTGGTTCTGGGAGTGCCCAGGGGTTGGAAGTGGGGTGCAGGGCAGGCAGCGGGGCATAGGATGGGCAGTGGGGCACGGGGTGGGCAGTGAGGCATGGGATGGGCAGCGAGGCAGGCAGGGCTCTTACAGGACAAGGACCATCTCCTGCTGCAGACTGTAGAGGGACTGATGCAGGCTGGGCAGCACCCGCTGGTAGTGGTGCTGGTGGTGCAATGCAGCTGCCTGCACAGCCAGCACGTACTGGTTGTGCAGGGCATAGAGCTTCCAGAGGCTGCGCACGTACTTCTCCTTCGCCTTGTCCCGCTCCTTGTCTGTGGAGAGAAGCTGTGGAAAACCCCAACCACCAGCACATCGCCTGTCCCAGCACTGGGGCAGGGCTCAGAGGGTGAGGGCTGGGAGAAGCTCCCAGGGCAGGCAGGGGGACCGAGCCTGGGGTGGTTACACTGTGACACAGGGATGCTCCTGACCCACAGCGTGGTGTCCCCCCAGACTTCTCCCTGGCTTCTTGGGAGCCTGGATAGGCTCTCCTCTATGCTGCCCCACCCCAGAACCCCCACCCATTCCAGGCTGGGCTGTAGTTTCCACAGAGTGCAAGGTGCTCCAGCCATCCTTGACCCATGAGGGAAGCTGGGAGGTCAGGCAGGGGACAGGGGCCAGGCTGGCACCTTTGCTGGCCTCCTGGTACTTGCGTTTGGCCTGGGCGCTGTCGCGTGCCAGGCTGCGGTACTGTGCCTTCAGCTTCTCCATCTCCTGCTGCGTCGTCTGGAGAGGGACACGGTCAGGGAGTGGGTCCAGCACATTCCCTCGTTCCCCTGCTGGTTCCAACATACCCGGCTGTACTCCTGGCTGAGCTGCTGCCACTGCTCGCTGAAGGCCTTGCGCAGCTGCTGCTTGTCGCGGATGAGCAGGCTCAGCTTGGCCAGTGGCCCTGCGGCCAGTTCCTCCGCGTGCCGCCGCAGGATCTGGCTCAGCGTCTCTGTCCGGCTCACCAGCACCCACCAGGACTGCACGAAAGGGAGCCAGGGATGGCGCAGAGATGGCATCCTGCAGCACCACACGGGGCCCTGCAGGACACAGTCCTACTCTGTGGCATCCCTACCTTCTCAACCTGACCACCTCGGTCACCATGGAGCTGCCAAGCGCTCTCCTGCTTTTCCAGCTGGGAGAACATGTGGTGCAGCATCCCTGCATACTCCCGGTCACTCTTGGCCCGCTGTGACATCCACTTCTTCATCAGCTCCAGGAGCTGCAGCTCCCCGTCCTGCAGCTGCAGCAGTGCACTGTGCCCCTGCGGGCACCACAGCTCTGGCCCAAAGCCCATGGCACCGTGGTCCAGCCAGGGGAGGTCTGTGGGGCAGCAGGACAGCGTGAGGCACATCTGCTGCCCTGCCCTGCCTGCCCCAGTGGCCAGGGTCCTTTGCATTTCACACCCTCCTGCCCCATCATCCGGTCTGTGCAGCAGAGACAACCCCCTCACCCGCTGCAAACAGCCTTGCAAAGCACATTCAAAGAGAGGGATGAGTGCTGCAAGCCCTGTGGGAGCTGGGGCCTGTGGGGATGGTGCTGGGAAGGAGAAAGTGTGGAGCTGTACACAGCAGTGTCACCTCTGCCATGCGTAGGGCTGCTCCCCAAGGGCAGCACAGCCGTGCCCCCCACTCCTGGCAGGCACCAGCCCCTCCTTTCTGGCAGCTCCAGTCCTGTCCTGCCCATTGGCACTGTCACCCCCTGTGCCCATAGTGTGGGAGCTCCCAGGGGCCAGGGCACTGGTGGGAAGCCAGCAAAAGCAGAAAAGCATGTTGAGCCCCAGGGAAAGGAGCTGAACCTGGACACATCCCAGCACAGAGGACTCCAGTAAGGCCATTCTGAGCCAAACTGATCCCCAGTGGCAGTCCCTGGGTGCCCTGCCCTGAAGCAAGAGTGCAGCAGGAGCTGGAGAGTGCTGGGGCACCACCCTGTACAGGGCAGGATGTCTCCTGGCACAGCCCTTGATCTCGCCAATACCCACCCTCCCAGCCCTACAAAGGAGTCCCCCTGTCTCTGCTCGTATCCCACCAGGACACAATCCTTTCAACCTACATTTGTTGCTTGGTCTTCGTTGTGAAGCTGCTGCTGGCGTCCTGCTGGGGCCGGGACTGGTGCGGTCTCGACCTGGTGCAGCTCTGGCTCCTGGGGAGGAACAGGAAACCCAGCGCTGACCATAGAGCCATTGCGAGATTTCCTGCGCTTCCTCCCCTCCCTGCCAGTCCCCGCTCCAGCAGCCGACACCAGCACACAATTCTGCTGCAGCTGGGCAGTTCCCAGCCCCACCACCTCTCCCAGCTGCCTCACACCAGGGCCTGACACCACCAGGTCCAGCCCTGTACAGCTGGGGCTCCAGTGCTCCTGTGGAGCCTTCACTCAGTGCCAGTCCCACCCAGCAAAGCCCCCTCAGCCATGCCTGCTCCTGCCTGACTCCCAGTCCCGCTCCATGTCCCTGTGTCTCCAAGAGACTGCAGGACCTGAGGGACCCTGAGGACTCCATGCAGCCCCACTGAAGGGTGGCCACCCTGCCACCATCCCCAAGCCTGGCACTTGTGACTGTGAACGGCAGCAGGACAGAGCAGCTACTGATGGACACCCACAGTGCCATGCCGCAGCCCTTGCTGCATCCACATAGTCGGGATCACACTCCCTGTGGCAGCCCTGGCCACCTCCCCTTCAAAGGGCTCCACGGGTGGCACTGCTCAGCCCTGGCAGCTGCCACCACCACTGCCACTGCCCAGTGGCACAGCCCAGGTCAGCTCCACTCAGCTTAGCCTGGCCACCGCTGGGTGTTTTGGCCTGAGCCCTCTCCCGACAGGGAGGCTCCGGCGCCAGAGAAGTTGCAATGTCACCTACAGGACACTGCCGGGCCGATTCCACTTTTAGAGGAAGTCGGGGAAAAAGCGTGTCAGGCGGGAGTTTTGCTGACTCGCCTTCCTATAGCGGAGCAAAGTGGGGCGGCCGCGCCCTGGAGCAGCTCCAAGGCAGGGGCTGCCACCGTTCTGCTTCTCCCACCACCAACATCCCTGCAGCTTCCCCCCGGCAGCGTGGGTTCCCTCCCCGCCCGCGCCAGGCTGCTCCTGGGCGGCCAGGGCTCTGCCTCTGACCGCAAGTGCAGCAGCTCCGGCTGTCTCTGGAAGCCCCGACTGCTGCCCGGCCCCAGCCCCGTCCCGTGAGAGCAGCGGAGCAGGGCGAGCGCGCTGCAGTCCGTGCATGCCACGGGGACCTCGCTCCTGACCACAGGAAACCACTGCGGCCCCAGACACAGCAAGGCCGACGGATTCCGCAGAGAGGAGCTGTCTCTGTGATGGAGCACAGCCCCAACAGGCTCTTTTGTGGGGGCCGGGGACCCGTGCGGGGCTCGGTGGGCTGTGTTATCTGCAGCTTGGCCACAGCACGAGTGGGTCCCAGGTCCAGCCTGGCCATTCCTGCTCCAGGGGCATCGTGCTGTGGCTGCAGGATGGTGCTAGACACAGGGGCTGCAGCCAAGCCCCAGGCTGCGGTGAAGGGACTGAGCCTCATGCTCTGCGCAAGGGGTGCAAGGTCCCCAGACTTCCCACAAGCACGCACCCCCCATGCAGCCAGTTTCTGAATTAGCTGCTCTGGATGCATTCCCCCAGAAGCAGCTGCTTCCCCTACCCAGGTGAGAGACATTCCCTGCCTGTCCCCACCACACCTGCCCAGCACAGGCTACTGCCCACAGCCAGGGAAGGGCAGTCCCTGGTGCTGGGGGAAGGTCTGCAGGCAGGGCTCCATCCCACCCCCTGCATCTGCAGAGATCTGGGTGCCCCTGAGGCCCACAGTCTCCACAGCCAGGCCACTGCCCCAGCTGGGGCACCCATGGCATACAGAGCACAGGCAGCGGAGCTGGTTTGCATAGTTCTGAACATTTAATAACTCAGTCTCTCTAGCGTTATATCCACATCCATTAAATTAAAAACAGGCTCAGGAGGCAGCTCCCGGCTGATTAAATTACAAGAAAAAATTACTGTGCACCAAAAAGTTGTTATAGAAAAATAGTCCTGTGGCCCCTGGCCAGTGGCTCCGTCCATGGCTGGCGCAGGTGGGAGCCTGCACCATGGCCCCGGCGTGCGGCGGCGGACGGCAGAGGGGCTCGTGGCACTGGCCCCCAGCCCACAGGGAAGGGGCAGCAAGGGGAAGGGCTCCAGCGGGGAGCAGAACAGATTGTCACCAAGTGGGGGCAAGGCACGTCGGGGGGCTAGGGCTGCAGGAATGCTGGGCACTGCCCAGCACAGGCAGGACGCAGGCAGAGCTGGGGCAGTGCTGGCACTGGCGCTACCTGACAGTCCCAGCCAGCAGCACCTACAGCCCTGCCCAGGGGCAGAACACAAGGGGCCCGAGGCAGCCCCCCAAAGCAGGGACTGTGCGAGGGGTCCCTGCCCAGGTGCGGGCTGTGCCATGGGCACAGGGTCAGGCAGTGCCCAGCCTGTGCTCCCCGGTGCCAGGGCCCCTACCCGCTGCAGGCAGCGGCCGTGGGATGGGCAGGCAGTGGGCAGCAGCAGCAGCAGCTGAGGCCTGGCCGTTATTGCTGTTGAAGGGCACGGGTGGAAGCAGACAGGCCCAGGGGAGGCAGCAGGGAGCTGGGACACAACGAACTGAACCTGGAACACAGCTCCGCAGGGGCCGAGGGTGGGAGGGGCAGGGGGATGCTGTGGCACAGGCTGGAATCAGCCCTGGGAGCAGAGCCACCCCTGTCCCAGCCAGCCCACCTTGAGCCGTGGCAACTCAGGGCCTTCACACGCTGCCCATCCAAGACCCCAAGCAGCAGCCCTGTACCCAGCAGGGGCACCACTGCCACCAAACACCCGGCATGGGGCACAGGATGGACGCAGGGCCAGGAGGGATGGTGCAAGACTGGGACAGTGTTGTGCTGGGGATGGTGCCTGCACGACCATGCCTGGCCACCCAGACTGGGGCTGAGGGACGGTGCCAGTGGGCAGGAGCCCCGAGCTGCTGCAGTGCAGGAAGAGGACAGGGGCAGAGTCCAGGGCCCCTCAGCCTCACCTGCCACAGCCCTGCGGTGCTGGGCAGGGAGGAGGGAGGGGCAGGAGGGCTCATCAAAGGGCACTTTGGTCTCTGATGAAGGCAGTCCTCTCGCTGTGGGCCTCGTAATCCTCACCGTCCGACTCAGAGGGACCCTCCTCCTGCCAGATGTCAGAGGGGAGCCCCTTGTAGGAGATGATCCCGCTGTCCAGGGCATACACTTTCACACCTCGCAGGCTGAAGCCTGAGCGTGCTTGCAGCACCAAGAATATGGTGACAAAGATGATGACGATGAAGATGCAGCTGAGGCTGGCGATGAGGACAGGCAAGTTGACTGGAGGGGGGGCCTCAGCTGGTCCCTCGCCATCTGCCAGGGCAGGGGATGCACGGCTGCTCTGTGTCTGGTGGGAGCAGGAGAGGTCCAGGCTGCTGAAGTGGGAGTGTGCAGGACAGGTGAGGCACTGGTTGGGGCCAGGTCCCGCACAGGTGGCACAGGAGGGGTGGCAGGGCAGGCAGAGGTGGGGTGCAATGGGCTCCACGCTGTTCTCCAGGTTGTAGTGTGTGCTCTGGACACCAGGTGCGAAGCCAGGAGGGCAGCGCTTCAGGCAGCTCTTCTGGTGCAGGTAGTACCCCTCCTCGCAGACTGTGGGACAGGCAGGGTCAGCACGGGCAGGGTCAGCACGGGCAGGGTCAGCACGGGCTGGGGCTGCCTGTGCCCGCATTTCCTCCCTGCTGTCCCCATACTCACCCACACACGTCTGGCTGGGGGTCAGGGTCTTGCAGCCACTGCTCTCCAGCTGGTTGGAGAGGCTGGGGGAGTCGGTGGCTGTCCCATACAGCACAAGTGTGAACTTGGTAAGCGTGCCTGCAAGAACGCAGAGTGAGGACCACAGAGGCGCCCACAAGACCACCCATGCCCATGACAGGCACAGGGAAGGGGCTCACGCTGGTGCCCCATCCTGGCTGCCAGGGGTCAGCAGGGTTGTGCCCACCACCTGGGAGAGTGCCTCTTGTGGAGTCATGCCCCTGCACTGGAGTCACAAGGGGCAGGGGTCATGTGAGCTGGCATGGAGTCTCCTTCTGCCTGAACTCCCACTGCCCCCAGAGGGGCTGCAGCACCATCCCATATGCCCAAGTCCAGCCTCTCCCCAGCCATATCACCCAAAACATCCAAGATGTTACTGGCTCCTCAGCTCAGGAACAGGGGGGAAAGCTGGGTGACCACACAGCTCACATTTCATTCTTGGAGGGAGGCAGTGGATGGGGAAGCACACCCCTACCGTAGTTCTTGGCATCACTGGTGTTCTCAATCTCCAGCACCCACTCCCCAGAGGGGTCCTCATCCCACGAGTGTGTCGTCATGAAGGCCCAGTCGTTGAAGCCATCGGCTGAGAAGTCGTGGGGCCTGAACAGCAGAGGCAAAATGTGGGTGTTAACATATCCCAAACTCACCTGCGCCAGCCCAGGCCAGGCGCCAGCCCAGGCCAGGCGCCAGCCCGGGGCACCCCACGGCCCAGCACCCACCTGGCAGCCAGGAGGGTGGAGCGGGTGCCCATGGGGCTGACCAGGTGGATGGCCAGGTCCCCCCGCCGGTTGTAGGACAGTGTCAGCCTGGCCTGAGCGTGCTCCAGCCGGCTGATGTAGTTGGCTTTCCCCAGGCAGGCATCCACTTTCCGCCGCACCTCGAGACGTTTCCCAATGTCCCTGCCGAGGACAGGCATGTGTGAGGCCAGTCCCAGACCAGAGGGACATACCACAGTCCCCATTCCTTGCTGTGGGGCTCTGCAGCTGTCCTGGGCACTGGGCATCCAGAGCAGCAATCAAATCTGCAGTGGGTCAGAGTGGCACCACCACTGTACCATTCCCAGATGGGTGTAGGCAGAAGAGGTACCCCAGCCCCTGGGCATAGGGGGGGAACTGTGCTGCCCAGTGCTGCCTCCCCAGGCACCACTCTGTGCAAGCCCTGAATAGCCCCTTTATTCACATGCTGCTGGCAAGCTACACGCTGCATGGCACAGCAAGGATGGGATGAGCAGAGTCATGTGTGGCCGCTCCCCCCTGGAGCCAGCACAGGATGTGCCTGCGGTATCCACACAGCGCTGGCTCCCAGAGGGGTCAGGGCAGGGCCCAGCCCTAGCTCCCTTCATGCACAGGAACGTGATTCCCCCACCCAGGAGCCCCTAGGGAGTGCCCTGGCCACAGACAAGACTGCACATGCTGCACTGTGGCAGCAGCAGCCAAGCAGGAGTCAAAGGAGCTTCTGTCTAACCCCTGAAAAGCCCCTCTGTCCAGGATGACTCGTGCTGGCTGTTGCCAACCACAGCGCCCCAGTCTGCCACATTCACTGGCCCAGCCCCATGGCCAGGAGGCTCAGCAGTGACGTCAGAGCTGGATGGCTGGAGGTGCCTGTCCCAGCTCTCCCCAGGCTCTCGCAGGAGGATGCTCCAAGGGTCTCAGCAGCAGTTCGGGCCCCGAGATTCTCCCCACTCCCTGCTCTGGCCCAGAGGCTCTCAAGCTCCTGTGCTGAACAGATGTCGAGTGATCCTCTCCTGAGCTCACTAGCCTGTACCTGGGCTCTGCAAGGATGTCAATGACACACTTCCTCTGAGGTCCCACCGTGGTCCAGTTCTTAGCCAAGCTCACCATGGCCCCAGCATCCAGCAGGCCGTAGCCATACGAGTGGCTCACTGTGGACAAAAAGGGGGTCAGTGCCACTCCTGGGGGTACCCTCTTTGCCTGTCCATGCTCACTGGGCCCTCCTGCCTCCTTCACCCACAGAGCTGCCAGGGCACTCTGCCTCAGCACCCCATGGCTAGTGGGACATGTGGGACAGGGACTCCCTGGTCCCACCTCAGCACCCCAGTACCTTTGCGGCCAACACCATTGGTGACCCAGTCATTGGCATTCAGGTGAGCTGGCTTTGAGGTCTGCACCACCAGGTGCTGCATGTCCCGCCAGGTCAGGTTCTTGCTACAGGGAGACATGGAGCTCAGGTCAGTGCTAGTTCCTGCTGGCCCCAGGCAGGTCCACGTCCAGGTGCCACTGCTGCATGGAGCTGGCACAGCCACCCCCATGCAGCCTCCTCTGTGCTGCCCTTACTTGGCCTCCAGGGCGAGGGCGATGATGCCAGCGGCCAGGGGCGCTGAGGCCGATGTCCCTGTGTGCAGCTCGGTGCACTTCTGTCTGAGGTCAGTCGTCACCTGCGAGGAGGAGCACCAGGGCAGGAAATGCTGGGGGCACATCCCACCCCCGAGCCCCCGGCCTGCGGACAGCAGCAGCCCCCACTCACAATCTGCTTCTCATTCTGGTTGCCACTGCTGTAGGTGGTGGCGAGGGTGGAGGAGCAGGCCTCGCTGTACCAGGGCACGTTGCCGTACTGAGTGGTGCTGCTGATGGACAGCGTGTAGATGCTGTTGGTGTAACCGTCACAGTTGCAGCTGTCATGCTCACGGCCCCCATTCCCAGATGCCCAGACGAAGATGGAGCCCAGCCCGCCTCGGCCCTAGCAACAGAGGCAGGGTGAGGGCAAGCACCAGCACTGCCACACACAGGAAACGCCAGGCTGGAGCTGGGGACAAGTGGATGGTGCCAGCCTGAGTCGGACAGAGCAGATGCAGCTGGGACACGGGGGACAGCATGACACCCCAGTCACAGCCCACCAACCCGGGCACCCTCGCCACCCCTATGCCTATGGAGGGGTGCCCAGCACCTCGGCAGAGGCTCCAGGGCTGTCCCAGTGGGTGACACACCAGGCAGCAGGAGGCCCAGACAATGTGAGGCTTCCAGGAGCCCAAGTCTTCTGCTCAGAAGTCACCTGGCCTGACTCCGTCTGCGTGGGATTGCAGTGCCTAGCAGAGCTGTGGGAGCCACAGCACAGTCCCAGCCATGCCCCAGCACCCAAACGTGGCAGCTACCCTCGCAGAGGATGTGACAGAGTCAGCATGGCACCACATGCATCTCTCTGTGGGGAATGCTGGGCAGAACATGACACAGTTCCCAAGGTGGGCAACACTGCCAGCACAAAGGGACGGTGGGGGAGGATGGGTGGAGGAAGCAAGGGTGAGCAGCTGGCACAAAATCAGACAAGAACCAGGAGAGAGCTTGGGAGAGCAGGGAGAGAGCATCCCACACAGGAGCCCTCACAGCAGTGAGATAACACCACATGGGAGGAGTCCTGACTCAGAACCATCATACAGGAAGAACAAGAAAAACTAACAGAGCCTGATCCTAGAGATGGGCTGGAAGATGGCTCATCCTGGGAGGGCCAGGGTAACAACCAGGGCAGGCAGAGGGAAGGGACACCTGAGAGGAGGGCAGGAGTAAGGCCAGTGCTCCCCCAGCAAACCCTTCTTCTCACCTGGCTCACCCCACGGAAGAAAGCCTCCTCTGCCAGCCGGGCTGGGCCATCCACAGTCTTGCCATCGTCCTCAGGGCCCCAGCTGGCACTGTAGATGTGGATGTGGTTGGGGTTGAGACCCAGGGAATGGGCCTCCACAGCATCGGTCACCTCCCCATCCAGCATGCGCACACCTAGGGCCAGAGAGCAAATGTCACGGGCAACTGGCTGGGGCAGAGTGTCACGGTGAGAACCCTCCACAGGCTGTCACAGGGCTGCTTCAGCCAGCAGTGCCCCCAGCTCAGCTGCTGCTGTGGCCACTCAAGGCCCACAGGACCCAGGGCAGGGCAGCACCCACCTCCGATCCTGGCGTTGTATGCGACGCCAACACCACAGATGCCATTGTTTGCCACGGCAGCCACTTCCCCAGCACAGCGCGTGCCATGTCTGCAACCCAAGCAGGACAAAGTGTGGTCATAGAGGGTGTGAGGAGCACAGGGGTCAGTATTGGCTGCAGCCCCAGCAGCCCCCATCCAGGCTGCCTCTCGTCCCTCAAACCAGGCAGCCAATGAAGGCTCCTCCAGAGCCAGGGCACTGAACAGCCCACACTGGCTCTGGGCAGAAAAAGGATGCTGCTCACGTCAAAAAGGGAGGTGAAGAGTTCCCCATGGGGCAGGAGTATGCTGCCAACCTCACAGTTTCCAGGGGCCCATGTAGGGTGGCACTGCACTAACTCCCTGCCACACTTAGGCTCTGCATCTTCACCCCTCCCTCCTGCCTCACCTGTTGTCATTCATCTGCGTGTAGCGAGGCTGCGGGTCTGGGTCCTGGTCATTGACGTCAAAACTTGCCCCCGGGTCCTGGAAGACAAATTGGACCCTTGGAGACTGTCTACCTTAGCCACCGAGCCCCACTGCCCTTACTCCATGCCTACACTCCGTGCCTACACTCAGGCTGAGCTGAGCAGGGTGGGCAGGCTCCAACCTCACCTCCAATGTCCCTCCATGGTGGGCACCAGACCTGTGCCTCACAGCTCTGGGGTTGCTCTGCATGGACACAGCTGCCCAGACCAGCTCCCACAGCACTCCGCCCCACACCATCACCCAAACTCACATAGTTGGCCTCCAGGTCAGGGTGGTTCTTCTCAATGCCATCATCCAGGATGGACACCACTATGCCTTTGCCGGTGTATCCCTGTTCCCAGGCCTGGCGCACGTTCAGGTCCCGCTGGTTTGTGTTGTACTGCCAAGAGAAGCCTTGGCACTAAGAGATGTGCTCAGCCACAGCCACTGTGATGGGTGTGTGCCCAAAACCCACCCAGCTCTCACCCCTCTTCTGTGGGTTGCGACAAGGAGCCCCAGGGACCCGGGCACAGGTTTGGGCACAACTAGCTGAGAAGGGCTGCTCTGAAAGCAAGACTGAGCCCCAGACTGTGCTCGAGTCCCACAGACAAAGCACCCTTTGCAGAGATCAGGCTTGTGCCCAAGCTCCAGGAAGCAGGCAGAGGCATGGACCAAGCCAAGCTAAAGGCTGGGCTAAATTACTGGGCCAAGCTAAAGGCTTGGCTCCTAGTCCAATCCTGGGCTCCCCCCAGCCCTCCAGCCAGGAGCCACAGCTCTGTGAGCAGAGCCTCTTCCCTGGGGAGTTCCCATAACACAGCACTGGGTGCCTGCCCCAGGCTTTCCCCTCCTCCTTCTCCTCCCTCCTGCCCGCCTAGCAGCCGCTGCCTGACAGCAGTTCCTAGGTGGCCACACCTGTGTCCCCAAACTCGCACGTGCCCCTTCCTCACCCAACACTCACCAGGTACCACTGCTGCGGGAATTTGGGGTCCGTGGGCTCCATGAAAACGTCTCTCTTGGTCCTGCGCTTTGCCACCTGCTGCTCCAGCCACTGCACCTGAGGGCAGAGAAGGCAGGGGATCCCTCGCTGACCCCTCATGACACAAGCTCCTCATGACCCCAGCCCTCAGCCTGCCTGGAGGGGCTCTCCCCGGGAAGCTCACAGTCAGCTCTGGCCTGTCAGAGCTAGTGCCACTCCCAGGCCAGCCCTCCAGGCCTCCTGCCTGGCTGTGCCCTGCAAAGGCTGCGCTCCAGTGGAGCAGGACGGTCAGAGTGCCAAGCTGCACTGAGACACGGGCTGCTGAGAGCTGCCATGCCACACCACACGCCTTCCAGGGCCTGGGCTGAAGCCAGAGGATGGGGAAAACAGCAGGCCCCACAGGCCACTGCTCTGGGATCTGTTTATTGCCCTGCACACCTGGTGCTGCGTACAAGTACACAGAGCTCTTCTGGGAACAGAGGCTCTCCTGGACGCTGGGATTGCGACAACCCACAGGTCAATGATGCTGGCTCCACCAACCCCCTGCCCTTGCCAGACACGCGGTGGGCTCCCACCTGCCTCTGCCAAGGAATGGTTAAGGCAGCTCAGCCCTGCCTTGTGCCCAGCACCGGCTCACGTGCCCCTGTGAAGTGCCTGGGCCCAAAGTCAGGCGCTCCTCGCTCGTACCTGCGGTTCCCTGGCCAAGCGGCTGTGCCAGGGCTGGTGGGGTGAGAGGGAACGCTTCACCACGCCACGGTGCCGAAAGTGGTAATAGTCGCCAAAGATCTGCAACACAGAAATGCTGCTCATAGGACAGACACGACAGCCTGGTCGCCCCGATTCTCCACACCCCGTATCTGCAATCCTGAGCTCCTGGGCTGCCATGCACAGGCTGGGCCCCCCACCCTAGAGTGGCTGGTGAGGCTTATGTCCAATGCTCTGGGTGGGACCTCCTGTGAGAAGCTGTGGCAGCTGGTGACACGGCAGCTGGGAAGACTCTGGAGTAGCAGAAATGCAGTCGCTGTGCACCTCACCCTCCCACAGGTCCCACATGGCAGCAAGTCTCACATTGTCCAAAAAAGCTGCTGCCTTGGCAGGAAAGCCCCAGGCAAGCAGAGGCAGAGAGGGACAGGCCTTTCAGAGTCAGCCTGTGAGAGACACCAGACTCAGGAGACAAAACCACTGCCTTCTCTCACAGTGCCAACCAGCTCCTCCTGGAAGAAGGTCCCAGTGGCTCCAGGCCCCACACCCAGGTGGTCCCAGCCAGCGCAGGGTCTGCACCTCTGGACAGGCTGCTGGCTCCTCCCCAGGTGCCCTACTGGAACACCCACCCAGTGTCAGCCTCTACCAGTTTCAGTGGGGCAGAGCAGGGGGCATGCAGGCATCCAACCCCAGTGGGGTCCAATTCCCACTGCCAAGCAGCCGTGCTGTGCTCACCCCAGCTCCACTCCCATGTGGAGACAGCCCAGACTGCGAGTCCAGCACAGCCCAGCTGGGGCAGGACGGGAATCCAGCACAGCTGGTGGGGCCAGGAGGCCATGCTGCCGCCCAGATGGTTATTTTTAAACCCCAAACCCTCTCCAGCGCTGTCATTTCCGTATCCCTTCCCGCACGTCCTGGGGCTGACAGACACAATGGCCCCACCCTGGCTGCCCAGGGCCTCCCAGCCCAGCAGCCTGCCCTAACTGGGGAGAAGGGGCCAAGCAAGCACCCAGCCCCCTGTGAGTCACAAAGCCCAGGCAGCAGCCACAGGCAGGATCCAGCTGCCCAGGCTGTGCCAGAGCTGAAGGGGCTGGGCTGCAAGGGCTGTAGGAATATGAGGACATCTCACCCTCCTCCACCTCAGGCTGCCTCAAAACAGTCTGTGTGGGGCTAACAAACCTCCCCAGCTTATTAGAGCTCTGCAGATGTGCTGCCAATTTGGACAGACTGGGCTGAGCAAGGTGCACCCAGCTGAGCACCCTCAGGCCCAGGGCAGCAGCTGGCTCTCCCAGGTACACACTTCACCCCAAAGCCTGGTACTTGTTCCTCTGGCAAACTGCGTTCCCCCAGGACAGCCCAAAATGCCTCTCAGTTCAGAACCCTTGAGGAGGTGTACAAAGTACAAAGCCTCTGCACAGGGCTGGTGGGGGAATGCAGGCTAGTCACTCTCCCACAGCATCTCCCTCACCCCCTCTGGGGATATGGACAGAGCCCAGATTGTTCCTGCACACAGACCACGGCTCTGACTGGTCATCCAACTGGATTAGGTCTGCACTGACACTGTGGTGGCAGCCAGGAGCTGGCCAGCCCACACACTTCCACCCTAATCTCCACCGTCCCTGTCCTCAGCAAGGGCAAAGCCAACCCCCAGCACCACGTGTTCCTGCTGCCAGTTCAGTGCTGCTGCCCTGGCCACAGCTCCCAACCACCCTGGCCAGTCCCAGAGCTAGAAGGCTGCCTGTATGCCTGACCAGGGCTCTGGGAGTGGAGCAATATGCTGGACCTGCAGCCCAGTGGCACGGGAGACAGGACCACCACCCCCTCCCAGGATGGCACTGTCCTGCCAGCACAGCCCAGGGATGGCACCATCAGTGCCCTTCCCGTGACCCCAATCCCAGCACTGGGGGACAATGCCTGTGCCCCTTCTCTGCACAATCCCAGCAGTGCAAAGCCTCAGACACCCACCTCACTCACTGCCACACACAGTCCCCACCTCTGACCCACGACTCCCCGCTGTCCCATGTCCTCCTCATGCCCTCCCCAAGGCCACTGGAACTAGTCATGGGCCTTCTGCCCAAGGTGCCACTGGCTCCCACTCCACAGGCAGCAGCGGAGCTGGGGGTATGCCAGGACAGCACAGCTTTGGGGACAGTGTCCAGACCCCAGGCTGAGGCCAGGATCCTCTCAGATAAGGGCTGGGGCCCTCTCACTGGGGCACTGCCAGACACGCCCTATTCCCCCACTCCCAGCCTGGCTGCACATCCTGCTCAGTGGCACACACCCCCAGGAGGAGCAGTCCAGGAACCTGCGAGGGAAGGCCAGCCTCCTTCCAGCCATGCTCTTCTCACTGGACCACCATGACCCCTCTGCAAAGCCCTGGCCAGCCAAACCTCGTCCCACAGTGCAGACAGTGGGACAGGCTCCAGAACGGGAGAAAACATGCCCAGACCAGAAGCTCTTGACACAGCCTGGGCTGCTGCAGCATGTGGGGCTCTGCTTGCAAGGGCAGGCTCACTGCTGCGAGGGGATGGGGAGCCAGGAAGAGGCGCCAGCCTCCAGCTGCAGAACCACGGTGTGGGGAGAAGACAAGGGCAGAGCTGGCACAGGGCCTCTGTGGCTCACTGGGCTGGAACTCATGACAGGCCTGGGCTCTCAGCTGAAGCATGAGGCCCTGCACTGTGGAGATGAAGACACAGAACCAGTGCCCCTGGCAGCCAGGCCTGGGACCAGGCACGACTGTATGATGAGAAGCACTGCCAGGAGCAGGCTGGTGGTACCTCAGCCCCATCCTCACTCCAAGGCGTCTCATCAGAGATCCAGTCTGGTGGGACATGCCACTCTCCCAGTCTCCTATGCATGGCAGCTACCCTGGCCTGACAAGTTCTTTCCCCTGAGATCTGCTCTGAGCCTCTTCCACACTGACAGCAGCTGCCCAACCAGCACGGCCCACCCAGTGCAGACACCCACACCAGGGCCTAGCCACAACCCCCACAGTTCACTCCTATGGCACAAGTCCTGGAGGACTTGGGGCTCCCTGACCCAGAGGGCCCTAAATACCCAGTGCCCATGCAGGGCTCCTTTTGGGTGGCAGGACAAGGTCCCAGGCTCCTGCAGCAGCCACCTTCCCACTGCCACTGCTCCCAGCAGCTGCTCACAGCGAGGTCCTGACACCACAGCCACCAGTTGTGCAATTTCCTCTGGGATTTCACCCTGCACTTCCTTCCCAGAGAAACAGCTCACTCCCAGCACAGCCACGCACACTGCCTGTTCCCTGGCTGAGGCAGGGAAAGCTGAGCCTTGGGGGGACCTGCTGACACACCTTCTGTCAAGGACAGTTCAGGGGTAAGAATACACAGCTGCTGTCAGACCCCTCTGGGGATAGCTCAGAGGCGCTGCTGCCATCCTGCTCAGCCGAGGCCATGCTGCACTGGGCAGCTTGTTGTGAGGACCAACAGTGGAATCTGGAAGCCTTCCCATCCGTCACTGCACAGCACTTCCAGTCCAGTTCCTTCACGCTAGGATGCGCTTTTCCTCCTTCCCCATCCAGCAGGCAGAGTGCTGTGCCACGTTGTGCCATGCCACGTCACCAGAAGGTCCCAGTGACAGGGGGAGGCCCTGGCTCCATATAGTTAATTGCCACCATCAAGTCAATTGGCTCCATACAGTCAATTGCCACCATCCAAGCAGATGCTGGAAGGCCACAGCAAACAGGCACAAACACAGTGACCCTGCTGCCAAAAACGAGGAGGCCCCAAGCCAGCTCTAAGGCTAAGCTCAGCGCCTGCCCAGACCATGGCAGAGAACAGTAGCTCCTTTAGAAAAGGGAAGCAGGAGACTTACCGGGCCTAGGTTGAGGAATCCATGCTTCCTGGCCAGCCTGTCAGCCTCCTGGGGTCCTGCAGGGACGAGCACAGCCCAGGTGTTGGTGTAAATACGCTGGGCCAGCACCTCCTGGTCCAGGAGAGCGAGGGCAACCACCAGAGTCCAGACCAACAGCAGCGAGTAGGGCCTCAGATCCATCAGAGTATCGGGGTTCCTCGTGCTGGGGAGCAGGAGGGTCCTGGGAGCAGGAGGTCCAGCAGCCTCCCAGTGTCAGCACTCCGAGGCACACCGGCCTCTCTGCCCTGCTGGTCCCAGCTCAGCCCAAGCCCACATGGGACCAAGCCCACAAAAGCACAGGAACAGACCGTCCAGGACAGAAGCACGATCTGCAGAGAGACAGGATAGTGGTCAGGCCCAGGGCTAGGAGGGCAGGCTGCACCTGCGGAGACATGGGCCAGCCACTGGGCGAGGGGGCCCTGGCACACAGCCCCTGCTGTCCCCCACGGCACACTGACAGCCACGGAGCCGCCTGGCTTGGCAGTGTGCCCATGTCTGCCCCTGCATGGAGACACTGTTTACCTTGCCTATTACCCAATGTTTGCTTATAAACAGGGAATCAACCAGGAGGAGAGGAGGGCACCAAAAGACGGGAATGGTGAGGCCAGGGACACTGTTCTTCCTGCTGCCACCACCCCTGCTCCAGCTGGGATGGGACTATCTGGGTTCAGAGATGGGAGCAACTGGGATGGGAGGCCTGCCTCTCCAGTTCCAAGGGGAGACCAAAGGAGATGTCCCCAGGTGCTATGTGAGGAAGCCCAGCAAAATGAGAGACTGGAAGGAGGAAAGTCAGGTCAAGGGGAGCTCCTGATCTCCAGCTAGCACAGCCCCGGGCTCTCATCTCCCCACCCATTGACCAGACAGCGCCTGGCAGCCATAGCATGCACTGTGCTGCCTGTCACCAGCAGCAGCTCAGCTCTGCCCTTCCTCTGGAGCACAACATGGTGACACCGGTGTGACTCATCCCCACAACCCGGTGGAAACCAGGACCAGGAAAAGGGACACACCGTCACCTCCAGCATGAACCCAAGGATGCCCAGGAACAGCTCACACGTTGTGGGTGGGCAAACACAAGAAAAGTGCAGGGAAAAAGCAGGGAGTGACCAACGCAGCGTAAGGGAGCCCACAATACAACCAGGGCGCCAGGGTGAGCTCCACACCCGGAGCTCCAGAGGGACCCTGGAATATGTGGTCATGCTTCAGAGACAGCTGGAAAGGTGAGAGGCAGCAGCGTCCAGAGAAGCCACATCCCCCTCCGTCCAGAAGTGGCCACAGCGAGCCGGCAGCCTGCGGTGCTGCCAGAGGAGAGAGGTCCTAGCAGCCGACAGAGACCCCGCCGTAGGCACGGCACAGACAGTGCAGGACTCTGGCACAACAGGGTTTCTTCATCAGAGACCACACCTCGGCCAGCCCCGGGCCGGACCGCCCCGCCGAAGCACCCAGAGTGGCGAGCAGCCACCGGAGGCTGTACGGGAGCCCCGAGTGCCAGATTGCCAAGGCCTACAGCACGGCACAACGGAACACTATCTGCCGTGGTCTACCAGCGTCCGTGCCAATACCTGGCCCCCGGGCCAGGCAGTTTCCCAACCACGTTGGTCCCGGCGCCAGCAGCCATCCCGCTCCGGCGGTGACCGCTGCACGTGGGGACAGTCCGGCCGCCGGGGAAGAGCCCGGACCCCGCGGCGCCTCCCGACCGCCAGCGAACCACGGCGTGCTGGGACAGCCCGGCCGCCGCACCCAGCGCGGAGCCGCGCTCCCGGCTCCGCACCGCGGCCCGGCCGCTGCTCGCTGCCCAAGGACCCAGCCCCGCACAGCAGCAACCCGGTGGCTCCGGGCTGAGCGGTGGGGCCCGGCCTGCACCCGCGGGGCGGCTCCAGCGGCGGAGGTCCGGACGGCGGCGGCCGAGCCGGGGCGGGACGCGGCCTGGCTTCCCCTCGGCCCCCCGCGGCGGCGGCTCCGGCTGCCCCCGCCGCAGCCCCGAGAGCGGCCGCCCGGCCCCCCACTCGCTCCCGGGGACCGCCGGGCCCGCACATCCCTGCCGGCAGCGCCCTAAGGCTGGGGCTGCCCAGCGGCTGCGGCCCCGCCGGTCGCCCCGGGCCCAGCCCCACCGCCGCCCGAGTCCCGTCCGGCAGGGCCGCCCCAGCTGTCAAACCGCGGTCACCGGCGCGTCGAGCCTTCCCAGGCCGGTTCCGGTCGCGCGCCCTTACCGCGCGGCCTGCCCGCTCCGCTCCGTCCCGTCGGCAGCCGGGCCCGTCTGTCGGCGGCGGCGCCGCGTCACGCCGCGGGGCGCCCGGAGCGCCCGCCCCGGAGCCGGGCCCGGCCCAGGCAGGGGCGGCCGGGGCGGCCGGCGGGGCCGCTTGTTTACGCCGCGCAGCTGTCAGCGCCGCCCGGCCCCGCCCCGACGGCCGAGCCACCGGCCCCGCGCGGCTCCCTCGGCACGGCCCGGCACGGCCCGGCCCGGCCGCCGCTCTGCCGGGCGCCGCCGGATGCCGTCACCGCCGCCCGCCCCTCCGGGCCCGTGCTGCAGCGCCGGGTCCGGCACGGACCCCCGGCAGCCCCTCCGCGCCGCCCGCCCGGGGCACCGCCAGAATCGGGGCCGTTCCCTGTCGCCAGTACCGGGCACGGCCCGGGGTTTTGCACGGCCTCTCCTGCAGCCGAGCATGGGGCTGTCCTTGCCACCGGGGGGTGCCTATGCCAGCCCAGGCAGGAACGCCGATCTGCGCTGTGAGAGACGTGAACCCCCGCCATGGGCCCGCGGCACTGGCCGCGGTGTAAGCGTGCCTGCCGTGAAGGGCACGCAGAAGATGCCCTGTTTCCCACCTGGTGCAGCTAGTGGTGCGTTATGCTGTGACACGGAGCTGGCAGGACGGAGCCGCCAGATTAGCCTGTTCCACCCTGGCAGACCGCGGAGCAGGGAGTTCCCCAGCCAGGCTGCGGGAATCGCACTTCCCGTGAGGTCCGTATCGCGGGGCTGCAACCCCAGGTCGTTGTAAGCAGCCTGACAGAGAAACTGTCTGGTAAGGAACAACACGAGGAAAAACTATCAGCCCCTTTTCAAGAGAGAGACTTGCACCAAAGAGAAAAGGTGAGAAGTGAAACACAGCTTCAGTCATTTGTAAAGAAGAACCCTCTGTGGGCACGAGACCTAGTCATTAGCAACACAAATGAAGCAGAACCCAAAGTGACCTGAACCCAAACTGACCTGAATCCTCCACACCTGCGACGAGTCTGGCAGCCCTGGGCAGGAGCAGGTCCTAGTGCTCTTTACAGAGAAAAGGAAGTCACTCAGATACCATGATCGAGATCGTGAAGCATAGCAATCACACAGGAAACAGTCACCTTGGTAACCGAGATGCTGAGAACAGCCCAGAAAATCTAGCACAGGGCAGGTTGTTGTGCTAAACAGGGTGAATTCTGCAGGGCAGCACCCTGGCCGCAGGTATTCAAGCTAGGCTGACCCTGGCATCCACCCCCAAGTGCTGCACCAGAGACCACCAGCCACAGGGGCTGTGGTGCCCCAGGCCCACCTTCAGGGCCACGGTCCTGCCAGGGGGAGAAGGCACCCGGTGCACCAGACAGGCAGCACTGACCCCAGTCACTGCAGCATGCTCAGGAGTTGTCTCTGTAGCTGGCAAGCCCAGGCCAGCCCTTGGGGGCACAGGGAGCCAGCTGTGCCTCATGGGGTTATATGGAGGATACATGGACAGGGGCAGGTCCAGAGCTGGAGTATCCAAACCGATAGTGGGTGGGAGGATGGCAGGCGGGCTGCCTGCCCCACCCATGAACCTTACCTCTGGATGCCTCTTTTGGGCGCTGGCAGCCGTGCCTAGGCAGGTGAAGAGCTGCTGCACCCAGCCCTGTGACATTCGGTGCTGAGAGGAGCTGACAAAGGGCCCTTGTCCCCACGGGGCAGGCAGGCAGGCAGGAAGTACCGTGCTCTTACGCAAACCCCTGGCCTGGGACCTGCGCTGACCCCACAGCCCTGCCAAAGAAAACGCCTGGGTCGGGAAGCACCTGGCTGCAGGTGGCACAACGCCACGGACTGGGAGGAGACCTGCTGTCCCAGAGCCCCCTGGGCCCAGCTGCACAAGGAGCAGAGAATGGGGCCACCAGCATGGATCTGAGCGGCTGCTGTGCCCCACTCACCTCACAGGCCTGCCGGGCACCCCCCTCTGCCCCAGCAGCGAGGGGGTGAAACAGCTACTTCTGCACATCTGCCAGGATCACAAACCCTCCTCTCAGACTTGGGGACCATGGCTCAGAGGCACCAGCTCAGCCCAAGAGACAGCAGGAGCAGCTGCTCCTTGTGTCAGTGCCCAGTGAACTGGCAGCACTTCTACCAGCCGGCCATAATGTCCCATCCTGTGAGGTCTACCCTGCCAGGATCCCCTGGGGTTCTCACTACAGCCACAGGGGCCAAACTGCTCCCTGGGGGTGGGAGGGAATCCCCCACACTCCCCTTCACTGAGCACACTCTGGTGTGGCTTGGCTGTGCACACAATCAATAGAAAGTCACTTTTAGGGAAATATCAGATTCATTTTAGCTTTCAGGTTACAGAGTACAACTGCCCATCTGCCCAAGCTCCCTGGAAGGCAGAGCAGCATGGGGCTGCACCCTTGCCTGCAGACACCCCAGCCTGGGGGACCTGCAGGATTGCAGGGTAAAGCAGCCCGTGGGTGGGCAACAGCAGGGAAAGGGTAGAGAGCCCACACAGAGAAACCAGCAGAGGAAACGAAGTAACAGGCAGCAACAGCAGGCAGAAACATCTGGATGAACCAAATCAATACCAGAAAGTTTGCCCAGCACAGAGCAGCCTGCTCTGCCCCCCATGCCAGCAGAGGTGATCCCACAGCCCCTCTGCTGTGCTGTCTAGCCCTCTCCCTCCACACTGGATACTGCCAGCAGACCCTTTTGTGCCCAGGGAGCTGGGACTGCCATGACCCAGGCAGGATCTGTGCTCCACAGGGTCCTGCTGGCTGCAGCAGCTCTATTTATCTCTGGCTCCCAGACAAAACATCTCACTGTAGCCACACGGAGGGACTCAGGCCTAGCCCAAACACCCTGACCTTGTCCTTGCAGATACAAACAGCAGCTGCTCAAGGTGGGTTCTGTAACTCTGTGCCTTAGACTTTGTCAGCAGCAGTTGTAATGCTGCCAAGGTATCGATCCACAGCCCAGTCTGGCTCTGCCCCTGCCCTGGGCTGGGGGACGTGCCCTTCCATCACCTGGCCTGTGATAACCCTGTCATCACCTGCTGTACAGGTGCAGGGATATCCTTGCCCAGCCTAAGTTCAAAAGGTGCCTGTGACACTTGGGGCGTTCCACAAGAATGACACGCACAGGAACACAAGCACACACAGGCAGGGAATGCCAGGCTGGTGAAGGGTGTCTCGCTGCCATGGCCTCCAGCCCCTGCAGCTACAGAACTGATCCAGGCTTGAAGACATTTCCCTGTTTGCCCAGGTCTTTAGTTTTGCTTCACCTGAATGAGACAGTATGTGCTTTATGTGCAATCCCCAAGCTTCCCCTTAGCTGCTGTGGCCAACTGTTCCTCCAAGCCCTGTAAAAGCTTATTCCTTGCCACGTGGCACAGGACTCACCAGGTAGGAACACACTGTTTACAACCCTCAACATTAACAACATAAACACAGAGTGGGTGGTCTGGTTGTCCCCTGCACCCAAAGGCCAGAAGCACACCAACAAGCATACAGATCCACTCTTGCTTGTTCCTGGAGGAGGCTGTAGGTGCTGTAGGATTGTAAAGGTGCTGTAGGATTATAAAGGCACCAATGCCTCAGTTGGTCAGGCAAACCACCAGCATCAGTGCATCAAGGGAGCCCTGCAAACCCTGTCTCATGCAGGGACACATTGAAGCAGGAGAGCCCTGGACAGAGCCCCCATTTCTTCATTGTGGCACAAACAAGTCTGTATGGAGGGCACTGCAGGGGCACCCTTTCCCAGAGCTAGAACAGGGCCTGAGTCAGGATGCCAGGCGCAGCCAACGGGGGCTGCAAGGGGCTGGGCCCACCTGCCCCCATGCCTGGGGCAGCCACCCCCACCTGCAGCCCAGCCAGATCGTGGTCATCCAACTGGATCTCCCCAGCCCTGGCGTCTCTATAGGCCAAGGAGAGTCCCTCAGGAAAAAGCCACGGTGGTCCTGGGAGCTCTGCAGCCACTTCTGGGACCAGACCAGAGTGGTACTGCTGCCAAAAACCGGGTCTGCTCTCCCCTAGACTGGCTGCAGAAAATGCTGCCAGAAGGCTGTCTCCCAGCCCAGACCACGGACACCAAAAGAAAAACACTTCCCTGCACTCCCTTAGGGATCATGCTCCAGTGCTGACCCACTAACTGGAAAAGTACATGTGCTTTGGGCTTTCCTGGCTGCCAAAGCTGGCCTCACCCCACACGGCCTCTGCCACACAGGCACAAAAGCATCTGTTCGGCTACTGCCAGTGAACTGTTAAAGTTTGGCTCTGCCCCCATGCTTCCTAAATTTCCCTGCTAGCAAGCAGATTTCATGGAAGATAAAACCTCTTCCTTTCTTCGTAGAAGCCGCAGAAGGTAGCAGGCAGCAGGTAGCAGATGTGGCTGTAGAGGCTTGTGACGCAGTTTTACCCAACTTAAGAGAAACGATTATCTTCTGCGGCAGGATGCGCGCATAGGGACATCCTGCACCAGCCACTCGCTCCGACCCTGTGAAACCTCGCATCCCTCGGAAGCTGAGACATGCTGACAAAGAGAGCAGGCGGCTGCTTACGGAAAACCCCCCAAGAAGCGGCCATGGCCCCAGCCTTTCCCCACTGTACTGCACCCATGCCAGCGGGACTCCCAGGAGCTCCCCCAGCCTTGCCGTGCAGCACGGCGGAGGTCCTGCCCCACCGGCAGCAGCCACGCCTCCTGGCGCTGGCCAGGCCGAGGGCTATGGGGCACGCAGCTGTGCAGGAGCTATTGGCCCTTGCTGCCCGGGAGGCCGAGTCAGGCAGCAGCACTGGGGCTTGGTGCGGCTGGCTGGCAGGCAGCGGGCAGGGCAGGAAGACTGGAGCCAGGGCTGGCTCCGGCTGTCGGGAGCAAAGGCGGACGAACAACCTGCTCTACCGCGCTGCAGGGAAGAACTGCACGGCTTCAGCAGCAGCCACGGCCACCGAGCCCTGCTCTGCCCCGAGCAGCCGCGCTGGCAGCGGGCACAGCACACACCCACCAGCCCCACTGTGCACCAAAGCGAGGAGCGGTTTTCTCAGGCTGTGCGGGGGGAATTCGGCACAGCAATGTGCCAGACGCAGGACGTTTCCCCCAGCTCAGCGAGTTACGGGTGACCCTGAGCCCTCGGTGTTCCAGCAGTGCCGGCTCAGATCCAGCCCCGCACGGAACACTCCCTGCCGCAGAGGGTGGGCGGCAGCAGGGACGGCCGGGCTGTAGAGTCCCACCGCCGTTAAGACACGGCCGGAGCAGCGGGGCCCTATCGCGGCGCTGCCCGCTGCCCCCGCCGCCCGATGGCCGCTCGGCCGGTGCCTCGCCCTGACGCCCGCCGGGGAGGAAACCCGCACCGTGCGGGAGGGAACGGAACCTCTCCCGGCCGAAGGCGGATGGCGAAACGACCGGGGACTCCCCCTGCCACCCAGCCCTAGGGTCCGGCGCACCCCGCACCGAAACGCAGGCACGGGCGGAAACTCCGAGCGCCAGGCCCCGATACCCCGGCAGAGACCCCGGCCTGAACGTCACTTCCGGCCCCGGCAGGGTCCCGGTCGCGACGGAAGCGGCAGCAGTTCCGGTTCCGGGTGAGCGCTCGAGGCGCCGTTGTCAGCGGCACCGCTCCGCACCGCTTGGCTCGGCTCGGCCCGGCCTCCGCCCGCCGCCACCATGTCGGTCCCCAGCGCCCTCATGAAGCAGCCGCCGATCCAGTCCACGGCGGGCGCCGTGCCCGTCCGCAACGAGAAGGGTGAGCTGGGGGGCCGGGGCTCGGCGGGGCGGCCGGACGGGCGTAGGGCCGGGGCTGGGACCGGGGCGGCGGGGGCGCGGTGCCGAGACCCCCGGTGACGGCCCGGCGCCCACAGGCGAGCTGTCCATGGAGAAGGTGAAGGTGAAGCGGTACGTGTCGGGCAAGCGGCCCGACTACGCGCCCATGGAGTCCTCGGAGGAAGAGGACGAGGAGT